TGCGGCTTTTGGCGGCTACTTGGCGGTTTTGCGTTGTGGCCTTGCCTTTGATTTGCGCCAGTACTTTTATGCAAAATTCCTGTATACTTGCAAGAACAATGAAGCCTATTGTGCAGAAGCAAAAACTTTTTTTATAAATTGGGAATTCGCAAAACCCCTTATGAGGTGCTACTAATCAAAAATCAAGCAAAATCTAGTTGGAGGCGTTGAGACATTGTATTTTGCCATCAAATGGTTACGCTTCCAATGCTGGATCTTAATGTATTCAAAGCTAAACATATGCCTAACTGAGGGCGCAATAGACCCAACGTTGCAAAGCACATCCTCAGTTATATAGGCCTATCAGCGCTTTTTGTGTGTTTTGGACATGCTGATGGGTATTCCTACGTTCAGCCTTTCTTAAATGTGTTTTTATATTATTCTCTAAAAAAAAAAAAAACATAATCGTTCAGCTAACCGCCCGAAGTCTGAAGTTTTCCACGACACGACTTTTGCATTGCCCAACTTTGTTGCGGCAAAATTGCATTGCTCTCACTTTTCCTTTTGAGAAATTATAAAATCAAGAATTATTCACCAACACCCTCGAAGTCTGAAAGTTGTTTGCTGCCTTAAAATTCCCCAGCCAACTTTCTCGTTCCTACGGCATAACTGTGAACACAGTCGCTATGCAGCAGCCAGCAAGTTTCGCAATCAAGCATTACTTCGCCCATGCCATTCCCTCTGCTCTTTTAACCAATTAATATAAAAGTCTATTTAAGTTTCCCCAACTTAACCGCATAGGATGCTGATTAAAAACAAAAACAGAAAAATCCGTATTTGCTTCAAAATTAAGTTAAAAAAAAAAAAACACTCCATAAGTGGCAAATGCCACACATTCTCAGTTGCTCTTACGCTCGAAAGGGTTAAAAAGTTGCTACGCCTTCGCAAAGAATTATGCCAGTCTCGCACTTTTCGCTGCCACTTGTAGGAACTTTTTATGCTTGCGCTTTGCTTTTAACTTTCCTTTGCTGCTTCTTTCTGTGTTGGTTTTTTTTTTTTAATTTTTCTTTTTTTCAACGCATTTTTATTCGCCTTCTTTCGATTTCTTTCGTTTGTCATCAAATTGCCTAAAGTCTTTGCAATCAACAACGCATCGCGCCGTTTCACCGCATTGCGGGTCTTTCCCCCTCTACCCCAGTTTCATAGGCATATAATCGCTCATCAGTTGCATGAAAATTTTATGAGCTCGCCACTTTAGCGTAATTGAAAAATTTGATCTTCCAAAAGGCTTTGAGGCTTTTCAAAAAGTTATTGCAACAAAGTTTTTTTTGGTTCTTTAATTTTTTTTATTCTGAGTTGTATGAAGGAATGGAAGGAAGCTAAAGCATTGTAAGCTATGAGGAAATGAGAAAAGCAAGTGAAAAATTATGCTGAAAGTATACATATGTACATAAATACCACTTAAAGAATTTCAAATTTATCTTGAAAATCATTAAGTATATTTTTCAAAAATATTGCAACAATAAAAAAATTACAAATAATAATAATACCAAAATAATAACATTTTGGAGCTTCGAAGGTTTGTCATTGCCTACCGAGGGGTGAAAACAGGAATTTAAGCTTGGTCTAACACTTGTCCATCTATGTATGTACATACATGTGTACATCTTCTTCTTCTTCTTATTTGGCACTGCAACCAATTTTGGCCGAGCACAAAAAAATTCGCCAGTTGCGCCTCTTTTTTTGCGAGATTGCGACAGTTGTACATCCAGAGTGCAGAGAGGTCCTTCTGCACATTTTTCTGCCTAACCCCAAAAACTGTCAGTGTGAGACTTTAACCCGCTGAACCTCTCACCGTCTACGTACCAATTCCCGTTAGGCACTAAGCTCCGTTAATGTTCGCATGATTCCAACCGCCCTTTGTCTTGGTCGATATTAGGGATGAGGCGATGTGTCCACCTGCCTTTTGTTGCGCTATCCCACCACGCTTGTCATTGCGATATGCTGTTTTGTCTTAATAAAGAGGTGCGAATTTCGTGCTCCTTGCGCTTAGCTTTTCTTTTTTCACTTGATTCCTGTGCCAAGAGGTCAAGTGGAAGCATGCCGCAGATGACAAGTGCTGCGTCTTCCGAAACAGTTCTGTATGCATAGCATACTCTTAGCGCATATAGACGATAAGTTGCGTTCATACCCTGAACATACGATGATCATTTAAATGCGTCGAACCAGATTGTAGCTTCGTACAAAAGTATAGATCTAACTACTCCGGCTATTACTAGTCCGGACTGCTGCTTCAGTCCCCCAACGTTGGCCATCACTTTGGACAAAGATGACGTCGCTCTCGCCGCCTTCTCGTTAACGCAGTTGAGATGATTTGGGAAGCAAAGGCGATGGTCTATTAATACCCCGAGGTATTTTACGTAGAGTTTTGATGCGCTTGGTCCATTGTGTTCGTGGGCGCCCTTTCGTTTGTTGTCCACCCATGGGTGCCGAGTCGTAGGATATTTTCACCGAGCCTCGTCATTCGTGCGACAATATGGCCAAGCCAGCGCCATCATTGCATCTTTTGCGGTACTTGTCGCCCACTCGAACATCAACAAAGATCTTGTGTAGAATAACTCTCTCGAAAGCCCCCAAAGCCTTCTCAGTTTTGTTCGTGCTTTGACATTTGTAGAGCGTAACGCTTGTTCGTCGAGAAAGGGCTAGGTCTTTCAATTGCCTACCGCACTCAAAGTTGCACGTGTTGGTAGTAGTTATCCTTAGCTTGATCTCCGGGCAGAAATTGTTGCTGGATCCTAGGTAGACAAAGTCCTTCACGTTCCCCCGACAGTACGTAACCGGAACGATCCTAATGTATATCTGGCCAAGGACTGTCACTCTCAGCATCACTCCCCGAAAACTCTTTGTGGAATTTCAGAATCCTTCACTATTTCAAAGTTATAACTGCCAATTGCAACGAATGTCCGACAACCCCAGGTACTTTGTGTAGTCCTCGTTCACCGCTAGACCAACCTCTTCAGCTTCTTTTTCTAAAATGGAAAATGCTACGCTAATGTTCCTGGTTGCAAGGCCGACGATGGCGATATCATCTGCATACGTCAGTAGCGCCGTGCTTTTGCTGTATTAACCTCGTTTGGTCTCAAACGGCGCGAAGAAGTCCTTCCTAATTTGAGCGAAGCTGAGTGTTGTACACCACGTCACTCTGCGTACAGACAGCTTCTCTTCGTGCTATTGAAAGCGGGAGTGTATTATCAAAGATTTTACGAACTGTGAAAATCTGGTCGATAGTGGATTTTCCAGGTCTGAAGTCGCACTGGAAAGGCCCAATCAGTTGGTGCGTGAAGGGCTTCAGTCTTCCACGTAGTATCGTTGGAATAAAAGCGCAGACGTCGGCATATCCCTTCTTATGGATTGGACAAAGTGCACTGAGATTCCAATCTTCGGGAATGTATTCCAAATTCTGCTTAAAAGCTGGTGCATGCGCTATGCTGATTAAGTCGACCTAAAAGAAGATGAAGAAATAAACGCATTTTACTGAAAAAATACACTGCCGGCAAAAACTTTTGGCACAGCAAATTTTTCACAATTTTTTCTAATATTTTTCCGCCAATTTTTGTAAAAATATGGTTCATTCTACAACAAAAAAAAATAAATAAAAAATATAATTCCTAAACTTTGTGCAAAACTCGCGGAAATTCAGCAAATTTTTATACAAATTTTCAACTTGTTAACCAGATTTTTAGAATTTTTCATGCAAATTTTCAACTTTTTAATCAGATTTTTTAGAATTTTTTTGAGTATGCAGTTATGCAGCCCTAGTAAAAAAATGCAAGTTCGGAGTTAGTCAAAAATCGCATTAATTTTTTAGATTTTTTTGTTTGCTGAAGGTGTTTTGCATTTTTTCTATATAAAGTACTTTCAAAAAAAAAAATATATATTTTGTATGGAGGAGACTGCGTGAAAAAAATTGCCAAAAAATCAACGTAATTCCTAGCTACTTCAAACTTGCACTTTATTATAAAAAATTGATTGTGCTCTTAATCTGCATACTTAAAAAAATCTGATTAAAAAGTTGAAAATTTTCATGAAAAATTTGCAGAATTTTCGTGAGTTTTGCACAAAGTTTAGGAATTATATTTGTATGTTTTTTGTTGTAGAATGAATCATATTTTTTATAAAAAAATTGGCGGAAAAAAATTAAAAAAAAAAATGTTTGCATATATTGTGAAAGATTTGCTGTGCCAATACTTTTTGCCGGCAGTGTACATATATTTTCCTCAATAGGCCACTAGTCTATCAAGCTGCTCTCGTACATTTGCATAAAAATTCGACGCTTTATTTAATCGGAAATCAAAAACAACAAAAACAGAAGATCTAACAACGCTCCACTCACGCTCCACCGCACAACATCTCTTCAGCGGGTTTGTTTGAGTTTCACGCAACTTCTAACCAACTTTCGATTTTGCCTTCCTCTTACGAGTCTTCCATTTTTCGATGCGAGTATTGGGATTTGTTGCCTTTTGCTGATTTAGCACGCACACACTTTCGCATTAAGCATACCCGCGCGCAAACTTTTCAAGTCAATCAAGCTGCTGGAAAAGCTTCCAGCGAAACGAGATGCAAATGTGGCAAAAATACTCGCACAAAATCAATTCAAGCGTATAATTGCGATAATCTGCTTTTAAGTAGTTAAATAAATAAAGTTAATTTGAATCAGATGAAAATACGTTTAGGGAAAAGAGGTTCACGGCTCAGTTGAGAAGGCAGAAATTGGGAGTAAAGTTCTTAAAGGAGTGTGGAAAATGTTAAAAGAATTGTGTAGCTGCTTGGGATTGAAATAAAATTTAAAGCCAATATCTTGATCTGTATTAAATATTCTCTTATCTGCCGGCGGGCTTTATAGTATATGTATGTATGTATATTCTTGTTAAGTCAATGCATCATATTCCTTAAATATCAACTAACTTTCATTTTCGAAACCAATTTCTACTTCCTTATAACGATTTCCTACCTCTTTCTAGCCGTTCAGCATGAGCGTGGCCCCCGCAAGCCAAAGCTACATCCACAGCTGCACCACCATCATCCCCACCATCCGCATCATCATCATCACCATCATCACAATGGTTTGGCGGCGCATCATGCTCATCACCATCCCGGCCACCATTTGCCCGTCTCGCTGGTGACCAATGTGTCAGCCTCCTTCAATTACACATCGCACATTTCCACCCACCCTGTGCAGGGTTTCCAACCACCAGCACACCCAACCGCCTTCCATCATCCCGGACATGCGCTGGTGCAACATAATGCTTTGCAAAATGGCGTACCGCCACATCCACCATTGCACTTTCCGCCACATCTGCTGCCGCACATGCATCACAATCTCATCGCAGAGGCCACGAGCAAGTTGCCAAGCATGTCGTCAACAGCGACAGCTTCTACCGCTGCCACCATTGTAGGTGCGGTAAGCGCTGCAGCGACTGTCGCTCCTCATCCACCGCCACCCAAGCATATGCCATTGTCGCTTACGACAGCGGGCAACGGCAGCAATGTTTTGCCCACTTATGACCTGACAAACAGCGGCGGCTCCTCGGGTGCACCCAGCGGCGGTGCTGCTAGCACCACAAGCCTAGAATTCTACGCCAAGTCAACGATGACCACACACAATTACTCCTCACCCTCACCCACGCCATCCATACAATCCATTTCGAGTATTGGCGGCCGTAGTTCGTTGGGCAGCGAGAGTCCGCGCGTAAATGTGGAGACAGAAACACCTTCGGCCACACCGCCTGTCTCGGCGAGCGCTTCACCGGTGCCCTCACTGACGGACACCAACGCCACCGGCGGCCCAGCTTCACCGATTATCAACATTAATGGCAATAGCAACAATAACAATAGTGACGCGTTGGACAACAACAACGACAACAGCATAAACAATCATAATTGCAAGCAGAGCAGTGGTGGCAGCAGCTTGGGTGCCAGCAGTGGTACACCATCGCGTTCGACACCACTGTCCAGCCACTCGCCACCGGCTAACCAGAGTGGCAGCGCCGGTGTTTCAACAAATTCAAGCTCGTCAGCTGCGGCTGCCGCTAGCCAGGCGGCAGCGCTTTATGCTGCCCGCCAAAATGGTTTTCTCGAATTGTTGCTCAGTCCGGACAAGTGCCAGGAGATCATACAGTATCAGGTGCACAATTCGATACTCTTCCCGGCGCTGCCACAGCAATTAATCGGCGTCGATTCGCGGCTACTATCGTGGGAAATGCTGCAAGAGACAACTGCACGTTTGCTTTTCATGGCTGTGCGGTGGGTTAAGTGTTTGATGCCCTTCCAGACGCTCACCAAGAACGACCAACATTTGCTGCTGCAGGTGAGTTTACTCGCATTTTTCTTTAACTTTTTTGTTCAATTGTTAAGATGTAAGCTAGTGAAACACTGTATCTGACAGCCCGTTCCCAGCAAATGCTATCCTCTCCTTCTTTGACGGGGTAATGTGTCTTAGCAAAGAACGGATATCTTGATATTCTTTATTACAAAATTAAGTAGATAAACGGGCTCCTTAGCGAACTTTAACTTCGTGATGTAATCGCATGGGTTCCCGCATTGTCAGCTTAACGAACATCTTCGACGGTCTGCAGCAGGCATGAACGACCGTGCGACCTTTCATGCCAAGATTTTCAATCACCGATGGCTCTGCTGACTTGAAGCTAATCTGTGTGAGAGCGGTTAGTAGGTTGTCCAGAGACACGGCGTCGAGGGAGGCGTAACCGCTCAAACCAAGCACATTCTTAGTCTACTTGTGAAGCGGTCTTGAGACAGTCTTGCTGGCGTTCTCTACGGGTGCGCCACAGAGCATAGCGTCAAAGACTGGAGTAAGTGTGTTACCCAAGGGGTCATTTGGGTGTCGTAAACCATTTATAAATGATCTTGTTGTAAAACTGATAGACTCAATGCTGAAACCTGACCTTTACAAAGCCCTACAAGATAGTAATACCTGAAAGGGATACCTGTAAAGCGCGAATCGGCATGTGGGACGGCGTATATGGACCTAGATTAAAAAAAAATCGTCCCGTTGGGCATATACCCAAAAAAAAAAAATGTACTGGTGAAACTAGGGGCCAGTAACAGAGTAACCCTGTGTTGGGTTCCGGGTCATGAGCGAGTTTCGATGGCAACGAAAGGACTGACACTCTAGCGAAATGCGGTGCCTCAGCCTTTCTTTGGACCATCTAGAGGATGCACAGCAGAGCTCCTAAGGGGATGGGAGGACTCGCAAGTTACAACCCAATGGCGCACGGCAAAGGGCAAAAGGCAGTCCAAAAGATTCATAACTCCTTCTCGAGGAATCTCCGAGCGGCTGCTAAATCTTAGTAGAGAGGGTTTAAGAACTCTCACCTGATACCTGCCAGGACACTGAGGGATGAGATACCATCTGCACAAAATGTGACTCTCTGAGGAGACGAACTGCAGGTTTGAAACCTCGGAGTATATACTTATATACCTTGAAGAACGACTATCATCTTAATCCAGAATCTGAAACATGAAACCCTCCAAAGTTCTTAATTTCATTAATAACCTAAGGTTGGAGAGACTTGATAAGGCGTAGCACAATAGATCTAGCTGGGTCGCAGCGCTATATATGCCCCAATAATAATAATAATAAGTGTGTAAAGAAGTGCACTTCAGATTTTATTAAGGACAGCTCGGGCACACACTCTAAACTACTGTAATATTTTTTAGCGAATTGCAGCATGGAGTGATCCCAAGCTTATTTTGCGTGAGATGTCCCATCGCGGTACAGAGTAACTAATGTCGTTTACATGTCATCCACATTATTTGGCCTCTTTCTTTCCAGAATTATTTACGACCAAATATTTGACACTGTCAGGGCAGAGAAGTGCCGAATATAGGAATAGATCCGTCTTACTATGATTAGGTACTCAAATAAGACTGGCTATCTTTGCCTTTCGAGTAGGAGTGTTGCGAAAACGACAACCGCTCTGGTGGAAACCTACCGATCAATCAAACTTTCCAGCGCCTTTAAAACGATAGAATAGCTTATTAAACTCGTTAATGCGCCGAGACTTCTTTCCACCCTTCTATAACCCCTACCTAAGAAGCTGATATCGATAAGGGCAAACCAATCAATCAAATCAAACAGTTGTGCATGCATGCAAGAGACCTGTTCCAGCTTTGCCTGTATAAAGTTCCCGTTTTCTAATATATAGTCTTATCAATTAATTGCGTAATGTCTTGTTTTAGCAGCCATTTAAATAACTTTCTTTCTCACACCCACGCTGCCGCAGGAATCCTGGAAGGAGTTATTCCTCCTCAATCTCGCCCAATGGACAATTCCACTCGATCTCACGCCCATCCTCGAATCACCACTCATCAAAGAGCGCGTGCTCCAAGACGAAGCCACCCAGATAGAGATGAAAACCATACAGGAGATACTCTGCCGTTTCCGCCAAATCGCGCCCGACGGCAGTGAGGTCGGCTGCATGAAAGCCATCGCGCTCTTCGCACCCGAAACGGCTGGCCTCTGCGATGTGCAACCGGTAGAGATGTTGCAAGATCAAGCGCAATGCATACTCTCCGATCATGTGCGGCTACGCTACCCACGACAAGCGACGCGCTTCGGACGTCTACTGCTGCTGCTGCCCTCACTACGTACCATACGTGCAGCTACCATTGAGGCGCTCTTCTTCAAGGAGACCATTGGCAATGTGCCCATAGCGCGACTCTTGCGGGATATGTATTCAATGGAGCCGGCGCAGGTGGACAAGTGAAGTGCAATGCGACGCATTGGAAATTAAAGTGAAAATAAAATGCGAAAAATTATTATTGTTTGAGTGTATAAGGCATACATGCATATGTGTGCAGAGAGGGAAAAAACTAAAATTGCAAGCATTTAGTTGTAATATGAAAATATATACATGCATAAGCAAGGGCCTAAGCATGAAGCAGCCAAGCGAAAGTGGACGTTGAGGTTGGTGAAGTGAACGTAGAGGAGGGTGGCGGCTCGTGCGACAGCTAATGCCAGTGCTGCTGCTCCTACCGGTATTTAATGCAGTCAGCATTGACGTGCGTGTGTGTGCATGCGAGTTGGCGCGCAGCTGACGGAATTCACAGCGCCTCCGCTTACGTGCCACCGCTGCGCTGCTGATTCTTCTTCTTCGTACAAAGGTGACAGTATTATGGCATGAACGGCCATCATCGTTTGCCGTTGTCAATGGTGTTCTTTTCTAATATCGCAGCGTCGCATTGCCAAGCATTCTGCAATTGAGTTAATACATACATTTGCGCTCATATGTGTGTGTGTGTGTAAAGGCATAACGGCAAAATAAAAATTCCAGTTAGAAATAAATACTTGTGTGTGTGTGTGTGTGTGTGTGTATTTGTGTTGGCGCGCGGGTGCTAGCAAATGATTTATTCCGCTGGCAATTTCTTTATTTATTTTCCATTCGACATTTTGCCCGCGAACCTCGTCATTCCCGTCCTGCTTTCTGTTACTCTCATTCAGTGCTAAATCTTATATTATTTTTTTGCAATTTTTTTTTTTCTATTTTTGATATCATCATATCACATCTCACCTGTGCCACCCACCAAAGCTTTCAGCTACAATATTACCCAGCACTGATGCTGATTGCTTGCTTCTAATTTTGTTTTTTTTTTTTTTGTTCATTCCTGCCAATATCCGTCGGCTATTTGTGCTCAATCTCGCTTTGGAAAAATGTATGGACTCTACATTTGATATTTTAAATTTATGATTTTTCCCATCTTCCTCACTTGCCGCCACCTGCCGCAGCACTGCGCCAACTTGCGCTGAGCCGTTATGCGCATCGCATTTCATTGCGAGTTTAGAAGTAATGAAAAAATAACTTTGCCGCCGGCGTTTCTAAATTCAATTCAATTGGACACTCCAACGGCAGCGCAAATGTAAAAACAGTTAGTCAGAAAAAATATGGATGAAAAAATAAAAATACAAATTGCAGTTGAAATAAATTGTGTAAAATTTTGCTACACCTCACACAGCTGCGCGCAATTGTAATAGCTTGTCGATTTATATGAAGCTGATTTCGTTTTTTTTTTTTTAATGTAACTGTTTTAATGATTTTTAGGCCATCAAAAATCAGCTTTTTTCTTCTTTATATGCACACAGAATTCGCATATTTTTTCAAACACCTAAAATTGCATTTTGGCACCAAAAATGTTAAATATGAAGGTTATAAAATTAAATGTTAACGCTAGAGTTGTTATTTTAATGCATCAAGAAATATGGTGCACACTTAAAAAATGACGAAAGGTATCAAAAAACGCAAAATCAAAAATATTCAATAATAAAAATAAATAATGTGAAGTAGCGATAATTCGCTGTGGACCATATAAATTTGTAAACTACTATGTACAAACTGAAAAACTATGACTAGAAAATTATAATATTTTTATTTAATTTAATTTAACAACCTGCCGTAAGGAATAGTCATTTTGTCTGAGCCACATTAAAATGTTTTTTTTTTTCGAGTGATATTCCGAGGTTTGCGATTGTCGTCACTTCAGATTCTTTGCATGGAACAGTAACGACAGAAAAATAGCCCGCATCGTGCAAAGCGTTTAAAAGCTTTCACTACAAAGTAAAAGTATTCGCTGGCCGTCGCTGCTCTGAATATCGTTGAATGTGATAATATTTAGAGTTCAAGATTTCGCGCAATCGTCAACTATCCAGCATAACCAATAAATCTCCCAAAAGTGTGTATCTGTCGCAATCGTCTAGGACCTCGAAGCAGCCAAGACGAAGACATGTCATGAACACCGAATAAAAGCACATTTTATTGGCCAATGTCGTCATTGCTCTAAAACAGCGATGGACAGAGAGAGTTTTTACTCTGCATGCGCCTATACAAAATACATATATAGAAAGCTTAAAAGAGCTGTGCCCGCGGATAAGGTGATGCCCATCACCACTCTAAAAGCACAGAGCTTTTTCAAGCTTGTTATACATTTTATAAAAATGGGCCCGGATCGATGGTGGCCATCAGCTTGCCCGCGGACAAAGCTCTGCAAAGCTTTCTATACAAAATGTATACAAACCTTGAATGAGCTTTGCCCGCGGACAGGCGGTACCGGACCACCGACGTAGAGTGAAAGCTTTATCGGATTGCCACTGTTCTAAGCCAGTGTTGGATACAGTAATCTTTTAAAAGGGTACAGAGTGCGTTTGAATCAGCGACGGGCAGAGAGAGCTTTTACTCTGTTCACGTCTATACAAAATATATAGAAAGCTTAAAAGAGCTTTGCCCGTGGGCAAGGCGTTGCCCATCCGTGGTTTAGCCAACCCAACAACATAAAGGAAATTAAAGTAAAGATAGGAAAGGATTGTAGAAATTTGAAAACTTTTAAATTCTTGTTTCAATTTAATTTTTGCTTCAAATTAGCAAACGATAATTCAGATTATATTCTAAGTAGCTACTAGACAAATAAATAATAAAATAATAATTGCATAGTTAATATATAAATTTGTTTATCCTAAATGTGAATGAATAGTTATATACTTATAGAGAACTAAAAGTTATTTTTAAGTCAAATATAGACCCATACTTGTAAATGCATATATAAAAAAAAAATAAAATATGTCATATTCTTCATTATGCAGTTAGTAGAGTTATGCATACATATCTATAATCATCATGTAAAGTTGTTTAATGGTCGGTAAATTCTACCTTAATAAAATGCTTAAGTAAAATTAAAATTAGCCTTTTATTCATTTGTTATTTACGAGTCCGTGGGATGAGTCTCAAGACAATTATTAATATCAATAATTGTTTGCTTTGTATTTCCAAATTGTTTGCGTTATTTTTTATTCTTTTGAAAGCCAGTTACTTCATAATTTTTGTTATTTATTTTTGAGCGAAAAAATAGTAACGCGTAAACACCTCGTAACCTCGTAAATAACGGTGTTCCATGCAAAATTAATTAAGTTAAATGAGGTTTAGGTGGTTACGAAGCGTTTACGTGTTTAGATGAATTATCCTAGTAAGAAAAATTTGTTTTTTTTGTTCAATCTTTTACCTATGTATATATTTTCATTATTTTTCTTTATTTTTAACGATTATACATTTAATTTTTACTTTCCTTTTCTTTTCGTTTTAGTTTTGTTTTTCGGTTCAAAGTGAATTTTTATTTAAAACATTTCATCATCATCAAATAAACCACAATTTCAAAAGGAGCTAAACGGAAATATTCAAGCGGTAAGTGTTTAAAATGTATACTAATTTATACATAGTTACCATTTTGTAGGCGAGTGGCAAAAGAGTGCTCTTAAGTATATGTAAATACTTCGCCAGATCTCATTAAATGTAGCTAATTTTTTCTTCTCTACTCTGCAAGGCTTATTTACATGGTCGCTTACAGTTCTATCAAGTTTTTTTCACGACCACTGCTGCCTAGCCGCTATTTTACAAAGTGCTCTGTCTTACAAAAAATTCCACTTAGAGCATAAAGCCTTTGACACGCGGAAAATTGACCATTCGCTACACTATTTTTCATTTTTACCGTAGACCACATAACCAAAAATACCACGTAAACATATAACCGGGGTAATTTGCAATGCCTTTTCTTTGACGGATTGAGTGCTGCAAAAGACGAGGCGTACATTATTTTCTTCTTTTTGTCACCATTGTAGACGATGGAGAAGATCCATTATCTGAGGACGGGGAAGAGCAGGGGCCCAATGTAAGGGATGTCCAATATCTGAAGTGGAAGTGCTGCCTGTAAATGTAGAATTAGAAGCAGCCTTTATAGACAGTGAGTCAGTTGACGAAGATGAAAAAGAAGAGGCAGCACCAAGGGTTGTGCGTGTCCTTTCTGCAACAATATAGTGGTCCGAGTCGATGTTTGGCTCTCAGAATTTGCGTACGTGTAAAACATTGGAAGCATGCCTTTCGCATGTCACCACATGTCAAAAGACAGCCACGTGGCTTGACGGAGCTTTTAATGCTGAAACGTAGCACTACACACTCGTTTTCAGGCCTTTTTCTGATCTGGGTTGTAGCGAGACCGTCGTCGACTAGCGTGAACGACCGTATTCGGCGACGACTCTCACTCGAAGTCTTTTATACGTTTGCCATGGTCGGCAGAAAAGAAGGGGTTCTCATCCGAGGCTGGGTCTAAAGCCCACCGCTCAACCCAACACTGGGGGTGTGACTTTTCAGACTAGCTCGCTTCCTGATGGGTGTTCAGTTTCTACCCAGACGATACTTCAGTAGAATGATTTTTAGCCAGGTGCGGTACCAAAGAACCTCATTTCATAAGTGACCATTCAAACTACGCAGAAATACCTTAGTTTTCTGGATCAGAAGTCTCAGTGCTCTTCTATTAGTGGTACTTTAGCTACACCAGTTCAAAATTGCTAGTGGAAACACGGTTATGCGTTCTAGGGTTAAAGGGCCGTCTGCAGAACTCAAGAAAAATCTTAAGAAATATGTTTGATTACTCTGCTGTTGTTGTAAATTTCCTTGAAGAAATAAATATCTATACGAGCATTTTTTTCTTGAGAGCTGCACACTGATTTAAAAAGTTTTGATAGTAGAATTTTTCTTCTCATTTATTGTGGGTCATTTTATATTATTATTCATGCAACTTTCTTTGTTTTTTCTTTTCTTTTGATCACAAAATCCGAAGTTACACCGTATTAGTTGAGACGTTTTTGTTTTATAAAATATCAGATCACTTTATTTTTATAAAATACGTTGTAAACACCTAAAAAACCCGTTAACCTGATGCAACCAAGGCCAATGAAATATACAAGTCTACTGGACACTAGAAAAACGTTTAGATGACAGGGATTATCCAAGCGACAAGGAACATTGAAAAACTGGACGTTCCCACGGCAGACGGTTCTACTTAACCGGAACGACCCAGACTCATATCTGGCCGAGGACTTTCACTCCAAAAGTTTTGTACATATGTTGTTACAACAACAACAACACGGAAAAACTGTGCTAATTATCCTCCATTTATAATGTCTGATTCAGAATTGACAAAGGAAGGTTTAGCTAGTTTTTAACTTGCCCCAAGTGATAGTTTATTTCTAAAAACTTTCATTGGAATAACTATTTATATACCTGATATTTTCTAGAATTATATGATTATAAAGATCGTTATCTATCCAACGTCCAAAATTGCTTTAAAAAAAATACTTTATTTTGTGGTATAGTAACCGTGGACGTGTTTTTCCAATTGATTCAAACTCGGTGCCTTTTTCAGCGAACTCGAGATTTTTTATTGAGCAGTGGTTATGTAAATAGTTCTTAGTAATATTCAATGCTAACATAATGATAAAGAAACAGACGGACCCAATTCTTTATATAAATGCGCAATCTTAAGAAGCTGGATCGTTCAAATATAAAAAAAACAATTCAGAGAAGGCTGAACAGACATTGTTTTTACCGATAATTTCGATGTCGTCAGCATACGCCAGCAATTATACTCTTGTTAAGTATTGTGCCTGAGCGATTCATTTCTGCGGCTCTTCTTATCTTCTCTAACATCCAGTTTAAAGAAACAAACAAATCAATCGAAAGGAAGTCGCCCTGTCTGTGAAACTCCGTTTGGTAGATTTGGAGAGGTCTTTCCCAATTCTGACGGAGCTGGTGGTATTGCTCAACGTCAGGCCGAATCACTTTCTCGGGAATACCAAATTCAGACATCGCGGCTATATGCAAGTCCTTCTAGTGTAGCCAAAAACTGCTTTGAAGTCGACATATAGATGGAGAGTGCCGATCCTTCTCTCACGGGTATTTTCCCAGATTTGGCGTCTATGATGGATTTTCCAAGTCTAAAGCCACACTGATAGGTCCCAATCAGTTCGTAGACGGTGAGCTTCAGTATTTCACATAATACGCTCGATAAGACCTTGTAACCAGCATAAGAAATAAATTTGCAGGCGTTATTGCTGTCGGCTAGCATTTCAAGCTTTTTCTTATATACATATATACATATCTCTCTTCCGACTTCAGCTCCCTACATCGGACGTCGTGCTCTATATCTTTTTTCCTTGCAGTTTCGTGACCATCATTCTTTTGGGTTTGCTGAAACTCGACCT